TGAAACTGTCCCTGGAGAGCTTGGAAGGGCTGATGTAAGTGTCAGGGATGTTTGGAGACAGCATGATCAGACCACGGATTTATCCATCAACCTCACTGCTCATGTTGAGAGCTTGGTGGAGTTGCCAGGAATGAAATATCTGTGCATGGCTGGAAAAATGGGTTCTTCTGTTTTACCTGGAGCTTAGTTCTCAAATGATATCTCCATGTATATGTCTCATTTTCTATGTCTCTGCTTAGGTGTGTGTTTTATTACAGCTGCAGATAGTGCTGTAAACATATAGACTGCCTCATCAGGGTGGAATAGGATATGTACAGCCCCCATCTAATAAGGCTTAGCATATATTAATGAAGAAGATGCTAAATTATCCCCATCTGACCCATTAAGACAGCCTACAGAAAATATATGATGTGGTCAGTGAGGGGAGTTAGTGCATGAATCACAAGCTCATTGGCAGCAGGACCAGCCCAGTAAATCAGTTCTTGGCTGCTTGGAGGGGACCTCATAGTCTCTCACCTCTGGCAGTTGTGCTCCTCCTCCCTCTCATGTGCCCAGGGCTCAGGGCTCAGGAATGACAAACAGGTTCATACTTGGAAACAAATCTATGATTTCAGAAGACAGCTATCCTGTGGCAGCACAAAACCCCAGGAAATAAAGATAAGAATTCTCTGGGCAATCCCTATATTCACAAGAGCTGACCAACAGGTTTCCTGTGCTTAACTGTAGAAAGCTCCACCCAGAGTAGGTCTTTGCAGCACGGCTATCACTGAAACAACAACTTTATAGACCACAAAATAAAGGAATTCCCTCATGCACTTAACAGTTTGGCACAATGTAATTTGAACAGCAGGATCCCCAGATGGGGATCATTACCGCTTCCATCTTTGATTTGTCATTTTAGATGGGCAGCTTTAGGGGTTGGGTAGCAGAGGAAGACTCTCAGGCTGGACAAACAGACGATGGGATCATTGTTACAGTTCCTTTAAATGAGTGGTTTAGCAGCAATCCAGGTGAATAAAGAGAGGCCATGGGGATCATTTGCTCTGGTTCCAGCATATCAGAAGCCATAAGATCTCCCCTATCAGGTCCCTGGGGCAGCCCCACCACCTCCTTATGGAGCCCCCTTCACCCAGGGGACAGTTTCCATGAACAAAACCAATTGTGACCACGTGCTGGGCAGACATTTCCGGAGACCTGTCTCTTACAGAAGAAAGATGCTGGCAACACCAGCCATCAGAGACATTAGGGACCAGTCTGTATTCAGAGCATCCCGTGAAGCATGTGTCCCTGTGGAAATGGGCAGGGAGGTGCTGATATTCCCGGAGAAATTATCTGTCGGTGAGGCACTGCCAGAGGACACGAAAGCAGCCTCACAATTTGTTGCCTCTTCTACCAATGTTGTCTTCATCCCATTTAGTCAACCAGAGTGCCCTGTTTGGGAGAGGCCAAAGAGTAGAAAAAGCATTCAAACTGAAATAATCATTTTAAAGAGAAGTGCTGCCAAGCAGGCAGGTGAGCAGGTGCCTCAACAGCAGCTGGCATGAGGCACTGCAAGACAAACTTCACTCTTCCCACCCTCTGGCCAACCATGGTTTGGGATACAAGTGTATTTTGCATCTTGGTCTCACCAGGTCTTTCCAGCGTATCTGAGAAAGAACCAAAAATGGGGTCCATGCTGTGCTGGGATTGGGATGGACTTTGTGCTCTGTGTCTGAATGGTGCCTGGCGCGATGGGTCAGGGCCACAGCACATATCCTTGATACACTGCCATCAACTCCCATCCACTATGGAGCCCCACTTGGACTTGTCTCATTTGACACAGGCAATGCACTGAGAAGGACAGGACAGCCCCTTCTGCAGACACATTGCTTCTCGGTGCTAGCTCCATGTGGAGTTTAGTGTAATGCCCCTGGCCTTGCTAAATTGTTTCACTGATTATTTTTGAGTGATACTGCTCTTCCTGTCAATATTTGTGCTTGCAGCAGTTGGGAGGTGGTGGGGTGGCAGCCCTGGGAAGCTCAGCTCATCTGTTTATCTGCCGACCAGGATGGCTGCAGGATGACATCTGAATACCATTCCACTGTGGATCACTTCCTCACCCTGGAAGGTCACACTGCCTGCCACCACACCAGGGCAGCACAGCCCTGTGCCGGCCCCTGACGAGCGGCCACATGTAGGCACCAGCTGGGCAGGCACTGAGCCCAGGATGCGACACGCTGGTTTCACAAGGGGTCAAACCCAGGCAGAGACCGTGAGGGAGCCAGGAAAAGGGAGGTCATTTCCAGCACTGCCCAAATGTCACACAAGTTTCACTCTACCAGTATGGTGTTTGCCATGGAGGAGCCAGCAGGCCCACGCACCCACCTCGGCTTCTCCCTTTGCATTCCCAGGCTCCAGATGTCTCCTATCCTGCAGTTGCAGAATGCGCTGTCCCAACACTACTGCCTCTGGCAAGCTTGTGCTGTGTTAAAGAAAGCCTCCTTGTCTTCTGGTTGGTCCCTCTTCCCAGGTCTTTTCTTGCCTCTGTTTAGTTGTTGTTGTAATATCTCTTCTTCAGATTTTGAACAGCCATTTATCAACAAGCCAGAGACCCTCCTCATCAGCAAGAAGGAGAACACTTGGGTACCATGCCTCGTGTCCATCCCAGATCTTAACGTCACGCTGATCTCGGTGAGAACTCGGCTAGTGGGAGACTCTGGACCGAAATGTTTTGCATTTGTTGTGCATTTGTAATTGCCTGAGTGGAAGCAGAACAGCCTTTGCCAGGAATGGAAAATGTATGGGATACTTTTTCCATGGAAAATACAAGCCACTGGCTTCCTCGTTTTATTTGCTGGTTGAAGCTATGCTGTCCAGTTCCCTTGGGCAGACCCTATGGGTTTCCTGCCAGCCTTGCTTTGCTTCCCTGGAGCTCTGCGAAACAAAACAAGACTGTTTTAATCCCATTTCCCCACAGCATCGCCTCTTTTCTCTGGTCTCTGTGATCTACAAACCCTCTAGGTGGTCAGGGTGGTCAGCATCCCCACAAGGGGGAAGGCTGCAGCCCTGGGGCTGATGACTAAAAACAACTCTGTTATCAGTTTGCTTGTGCCTTTTTTTTTTTTCTTTTTTTTTTTTTTTTACAATGCTAATACATCCTTCCAGGATGAGTGTTACTATTGTAGAAAGGCCTCCAGGGACACTCTGGGGGCTGGGGGCCTTTCCCTTGCCCGGGAAGGACACTACCCAAGGTCAGCACTCATCCCGGTGAGGCTGATGTTTGGGACATCAGCATCAGTTTCCTTAGCTATTTCTATAAGTTTCCATTCCTGGAAATTTCTGGCCCACTCTGCAGATGGGGAGGCTCGTGGTGCAGGATACGGCTGCTCAACTGCTCGGGGTCTAAGGGAGAGTGCGATTCCTAGATGGCAAACCCTCACAGGGAGAGGGCGGGAGGCCAGCGCAGCATGATGCTGCATGATTTCTTCCCACAGAAGGGGTGTGTTAGCAGGCGTAAAGCCTGGAAGGGGTGGGGTGGGAATGTTGTTACCCTCTTATTTCAGTTGGCAAAATTTTGATTTTTCCAGCAAAATTCCCTCATCCACCCTGATGGGAAAAGCATTTTCTGGGACAACAAGAAGGGAATGCAGGTGCCCACACACTTGATCAGGGACTCCTTGTTCGTCCAGTGTGAGACTGCCATTGACAAGAAGCCCTTCAAATCCAATTTCTTCATCATCCATATAGCAGGTGAAGATTTGAGAAGGTACAGGGGGGCAGTTTGGATGGCTCTTAAGCCCATCAGTATGGCCTGGGGTTGTTATGGTCCTCTCTAGCTACACAGACTCTGCATGGTGTTTATATCTCCTCTGCTGTGTGCCAGAGATACACCAAGCAGCAAGAGGTCATACCCAAGCCTCCTGTAACTGCACAGCCTGAGTCAGAGTTAATAGGTCAGAAACGTCTTTTTGTTGCCTCTTGTGCACCAGGGAGCGAGCTGTACGACATCCAACTGTATCCCAAGAAAGCCATGGAGCTGCTAGTGGGAGAGAAGCTGGTCTTGAACTGCACAGTGTGGGCCGAGTTCAACTCCGGCGTCCGCTTCCAGTGGACCTACCCTGGCAAACAGGTACCAGCAAACAGAACAGCTCCCCATGCACTGAACCACTTCCCTCTGACTCGTCCCCTTCTGCTCTTTCGCTGGTGTTCTTGGCATTACTGACAGGGTCAATGATCTTAACCATGCTATGCCCTGGACATCTTGGTCAGAGTGCCTTCCCATTTTTCTCTCCTGCAGCAGAAGGCAGGCAGAAGAAAACCCCTTTTCCTGGCAGAATGCACCCTCCTTGTCAAGGTGTTATTGCACTGGAGCTGTCCTGGGCAAACACTGGCTTCAGCTCCACCAGTGGAAATCCAGAGCAAACACTGTTGGCTTAAGCAAGAAGCACAGACATGAGGAGCCCTTCTGCACAGCCCCATCCCATTGATATCTCTTATCCCCTTCTCTCTGTTGTCTCCCACAGACACAGCGGGCAGTGATGGAGCCCGAGCGCCGGTCCCTGCAGACACACACAGAGCTCTCCAGTATCCTGACCCTGCACAATGTCAGCCAGCAGGACCTGGGCAGGTACACGTGCACAGCCACCAATGGCGCCCAGATGCTGGAGGAGAGCACCGACGTCATCGTGCACGGTACGGCACCTTCTGCACCCTTGCAGAGCCACAGCCAGAGCCAAGCTGCGAGCAGAGCAATCTCCAGACTGCTTAGGGAATGCTTGGCCCAAAGCTCAGTAGAAGGGCTCCTGCACCTCCATCCCATTCTGCTTCAGTGAGACCCAGCCTTCCTCCAGTCCCTCAGCCCTTCTGCACTCCAGCACCACACAGGGAGCAAGATCACACTCAGCAAGGTGCCAAGGCGAAAATAGAGAGAGATGCAAACACCAAATTGCCCCAAATGCCAGTGGGGTGGCAGGACACAGAGGTCTCATGGCCTTGCTGCAGATGCGGTGTCCCTGCGGCATGACTGGCTTGGGAGACACCCAGCTACAGGTGCACCAGGCACTGCTGGCACTGAGCAGTTGTCTCCTGGCAGCAGCAGGTCACGGGGCAGCACAGCCTCCCTGCATCTCTGATGGCTCCCAACAGCGAGGCAGAGGCAGCTCTTCAGCTGGCAGAATCACAGTGCTGTGCTGGGCTGCCCGCCCTGCCTGGCACTCGCTCCCTCCTCTTCTGCTCCAGGGAGCGAGCCCTCCTGAGAACAGGGATGTGGACGAGGGGTTGGGGGTCATATGGGCAGACGAGACAATTTTGGTTATTTGACTTCATTGTTGCAGAGAAGTAGTAATTTTCAACTGCACTGCCACAACACCCTGCTGGTCCTTGCTGATGGGCCCTGTAGGGAACAGCAGAGCTTGGTGACAGCCTGTCTGTCATGGTCAAATCGGGACACAGAATCACAGAATCTCAGGAGTTGGAAGGGACCTCGAAAGATCATCCAGTCCAACCCCTCTGCCAGAGCAGGATCACCTAAACTAGGTCACACAGGAACAAGTCCAGGTTGGTTTTGAATGTCTCCAGAGAAGGAGACTCCACAACCTCTCTGGGCAGCCTGGTGCAGTGTTCTATCACCCTCACAGTAAAAAAGTTTTTCCTCATGGAACCTCCTATGTTCCAGCTTGCACCCATTGCCCCTTGTCCTGTCATTGGACATCAGAGAGAAGAGTCTGGCTCCTTCCTCCTGACACCCTTTACAAATGTATAAACATGAATGAGGTCACCCCTCAGTCTCCTCTTCTCCAAGCTAAAGAGACCCAGCTCCTTCAGCCGCTCCTCATAAGGGAGATGCTTCACTCCCTTGATCAACCTTGTGGCCCTGCGCTGGACACTGTCCCTTTGTGCTCTCCTCTCCTCCATGCTCACCTTTTTTCTTGCAGAAAAGCCCTTCATCAATGTGGAGTGGAGGAAGGGGCCGGTGATAGAAGCCACCGCAGGAGATGAAGCTGTGAAGCTGCCGGTGAAAGTCGTGGCTTACCCCCCACCAGACTTCCAGTGGTAACGCACCTTTCTTAGCCTGAGCCACCTTCTCCTCTCCTTCTTCTCTTTGCCACGTGGGGAAGCATAGCTTGGCCTCCTTCCTAGGTCCCTCTGTGGTCAAGTTTGTCCCAAATGTCACTTTCTCCCACCTATGGGGGTCATTTCTCCCACTTGCCCTGGCTGTCAGCTGCACAGCTTGCACGGGAGGAGGTGAGGTCTGAGGGAGAAGCAGCAAAGGTCCTGGTGTGACTTGGCAGCTCTGTGCTGTCTGGAGGGGCCATGTAGAACCCCTCTTGTTCCCCTGCAGTGGGGATCACAGCTGCCCAGAGGAGCAAGAGAGTGGGCCAGGTTGTGTACCGCATTGTGCTGCACTTCCACCAGAGCTGGCTGGGAGCTTTGTACCTGCAGGCTGCTTAGGGCAGAGCTACAACACCCATGACCCCACATACATACATAGGAGATGATGCGCAGACCCATAATTTGGGTCCAGGGAAAGCCCAGAGGTCTCTCCAGAGAGGTTCCCAGTGCTAGCAAAGGGTGCCCTGACTACATTCTAGTGGGGACCTGCAAACTGCTGCCCAGCTGCCAGTGGAACACTTCCTCTCCTTGGCTGCATTTTCTCTCTGCCTCCCTACAGGTACAAGGATGGGAAGCTAATTCCCAAGCAATCTCAATCTTCAATGCAGATCAAGGATGTGTCGGAGCAGCACGCTGGGACATACACGCTGGTTCTGCGGAACAGGCTGGCAGGGCTGGAGAAGCATATCAGCCTCCAGTTAATTGTCAATGGTAAGGGAGAGGCCCAGCGCTGGGGCCAGAGAGAGAGCAGTGAGCCCATGGCCCCAGCCTTTGGGCTGCTCCAAGGCCACGTCCCCATTGCTGTCCTAAAGCAGTCAATACCTACATCATCTCCTTCTCCCCTGTTACTGAGGGATGCTGTGGTTACAGCAGGGCTCATTCCTTGTGGCATGGGTGATATGGCACAGGACTGGGGCTCAGGACACTGAAGTTTTGTTCCTGCTCCATTGCACTGGGCAGGATATGTCCTTGGTCAGGGACCATTTTCTAGCTGCGGTCAGGGCTGCTGCTGAGGGTGACCTTGCCTGGTGAGGACTTAAAGGCATGGTAGCTGTAACACACATGAAGCCTTGAGCTAGAGCAGTTCCTCTGGGTGCCTCACGGATCCTGGGGAGTGTTTTTTTCAGCAGAAACTGGTCCACATTGTGCAGGAACCAGGTGGCACCACAAAAAGTGCTGGAAGGGCACTGCTGCTTGGAGATTTGTCTCCAGCAGGCTCTGTAGCCCTGCGCTGGGAGCTGCCAGACAGTGCTTTGAGCCCTGCAGCATCCAGTCACACTCTGCAGAGGAAGGAGAAATGATGTCACTTGAATCTGCCTAAGTATAACCTGCTCTGCCTTGCAGGCCTGAGTTCCTCAGGAGCTGCCCTGAGAGCCATAGTGCTTTAGATGGGTCTGAAGTGGGCTGTGCCTGACCTGGGGTTGCAGCAGCTGGGCCTGTGGCCACTTACGGTGTCACTCTGATCCTTGCAGTTCCTCCACGCATCCATGAGAAGGAAGCCTCTTCCCCAAGCATCTACTCCCGGAGGAGCCCCCAGGCCCTCACCTGCACGGTCTATGGCATCCCGGCACCAGAGGTGATCCAGTGGCAGTGGAGGCCGTGGATGCCCTGTCGGATGTTCTCCCGACGCAGCCTGTAAGTGCCATTTCTTCCAACACCCGTGTCTTATCAAGCCACCAGTGTGGCATTATGGGCTCCTTGGGAACCATGGCTGTGTCCTAGACTCCACTGTGCTTTTGCTGTCCTCTTGTCATGTCGTGGAAAAAGGAGGACAGCACCAACTGATAGCTCAGAGTACACCCACTCACCCTGTGGACAGGCAGAGTGGAGCCTGCCCTGCCTGGAGATACTTGTGTTCCATGCGAGAGTTTGCCCAGCCTGGCTGTTCCTAGACATCCAGGATTTCCACAGCTTCCCCTGTGTCCTCAGCCATCTGCATCTGGCAGGGGATGTCCATGGCCCAGCCACACCTCACAGCACCTGCAGTAGGACCACTGAGCACCATGCTAATGGGAAAACTGAGGCAGATTGCAGGACAAGTTGTCACAGCCCCTTGGTGAGACCCTGAGACAGCAGCTTGGGTTCCCCCCATTTGTGCCTTAAGGTCCCTGTGGTATTTTGGTCCTTTGTCTTCTGCTGGGTAATGATGGAAGCAGAAGTGCTTGTGGGCAGGGCAGCAGAGCTGTTGGATGTGGGGAAGAGGAAGCATCAGATCCCTGCCAGCTGCCAGGACAGTTTGCCAGGAGGGTGTTTGCGGAGGCAGCACCAATAGGTAGGCAAAAAGGATGCATGCCCACTGCCTTTGCCCTGGGAAGCTGTGGCAGTGCCAGGCAGGGCTGCAGTGGCAATTTTATCAGCAGCCTCACAGAAAGAAGGAAGAGGGATGCTGAGGAGTTGTAGCCAGAGCAGTCAGGGCAGAGGACATCAGGGTGCCTGAAGGAAGCCAGGTCTTACAGCCCTGTGCAAGCTGTTGCCGAGCCAGGGACGCCAGAGAGCTCTCCATCGCATGCGAGTGCACTGTGCCCCCGTCAGGAAGCAGAGGGGCCTATGAATTACGAGCACGGTCTCCCAAGGCCACCATATTTCTGCCTAGCATAGCTCCAGAGGATGCAGGAGGCTTCTTTCTGGCTTCCTGTTGTTTACACAGCTCGCCGATACGCTCGCCCTGCCGAGTGCTCTGCCCCGCACTGCCAGCAAGTGCCCTTGCCCCTGCTTGTCAGTGCTCGGTCCCGCTCTGCTTCCCCATCACCACAGGACCGCTCCCTCTGCACCTCCCACCCTGGATTTTGGGCAGACCCTCCCATCTCCCTGCCCCACCTGCATTTTGGAAGCACCCTGCAGGCTGCAGCATCCCAGATCCCTGATAGATTAGGGCTCTTCTCTCTGCTTGCCTACCTAAGCCCGAAGAGGTACCACCATTCACCTGTGAGACACCAGCAGCGCCCCTACTTGGGGTGTTTCCCTCCTGGAATTTGTTGAATCAGGGGCAGCAGGAACACCCACGGGTGCTGCACCCTCTCCTCTCCAGGCTAGCACCCAGTCTATGACATCCCTGACTGCCAGTCCCAGCAGGGCCTTAAGGCCTTGTTGCTGAGCAAAGTGGCATCGAGAACTGCCCCCAGGCACAGCTGAACAGATTTTACCCGTGCCTTTCTCCACCTCTAGCAAAGAAGGATGAAACCACAGGTCTGGGGATGAAGACACTGCCTGGGACACCAGTAGCTGTTCCCTGCTTCAATTTTCACATCCATAGGTAATGTTTGCCTCACTAGACATTGCAGAACACCCTTATAAAACACATTAGAACTGTGTAACCAAGAGACCCAGGAAAACTTGCAGCGTCAGAGGACAGGGGCATCAATTCTCAGACACAAAGCTACTTTTGCTGCCTTTTTCCCAGCTGACCCTCTCTCCATCTCTCTCCTCTTTCTCCTGCTCCTTCCCGGCTACTGGATTAGCAATAGCAGGCACCGAGCAGCAAGGCGCCATCAGCGGGACCGGATGCCTGAGTGCAAGGACTGGAAAGATGTGTCGCAGCAGGACGCAGTGAACCCCATCGAGAGCATTGACACCTGGGTGGAGTTTGTGGAGGGGCGGAACAAGGTGAGGCTGTACCCCTGAGTGAGGAGCTGGAGACAGGCACCCTCCGAGGTGACCTTTGCGATCAGCCAGCAAAAGTGGCCTGGAAACGAGTCTGGCAGAGACAAATTTGGGGAGGGCTTCACACCTCTGCTGCTAAAATAAACCATAAGTGGCCGTTCCCAGCTATGGAGCTCTGCAGTACCAGGCAGCCCCAGGGCAAGGGAGAACTGTCATCTTTGAGAAATTATGCTGCGTCCAGAGAGGCTCCTGCTGGGGCTGGCTGTGCAGGAGGGTTTGCACCGATCACTGCTGAGTACAGGGCACCCAGTTAGGGAAGGCACGGGGAACATGTGCTGGGGGTCCCATGGCTGTTGCTGAGCACTGTTGCTTGAGCTGTTTTGGGAGAGTCAAACCCCGCAGAGCAGCCGGGAAAGGAGAGCAGGAGTCACAGGCTGACCAGGAAATCTCTGGCCTCAGGAACATTCGTGTGTGTAGCAGACATTTCATCCAGCTGTCCCCATCCCAGAGGGGCGAGGTAGTATGGAGGTACTGGTGTCCATCCGCTGTATGTTTTTGAGTGAGAGCATGTGTGCCCCACAGAGCCCACCTCTCCACCACAGCGTTTCCTCTCTGGAAGGAACATCTCTCCCTCATGGCAGCGTGTGACCTGCAAGTAGCCAGACATTGCTTGCTGCCTGTTTCTTTCTGTCTCTCTGGTAGCCGTGAGTGTCAGGTCTGCACCATGACGGGGTTCCTGTTCCCGCTGGTGTCAGGCACCAGCCGTTCACAGAGGGATGCAGAACAAACAAATGGGCCCCCATTTCCGAAAGTCACTTCCTGTTTTCCTGCACACCTCCAAAGGCACTTCCTGTCCCCTGGCCTGGCCAGGAGTCCGTCACTCTGCCAAAAGGGTGGCAGGGGCTATTCCCAGAGCAGCCAAAGGGAGAGGCAGGAATAGGTGTCCCTGGGGAGGTGAGCAGGGGTGGTGGGCCCTTGTGTCCTCCTCCAGATGTGACTCCTGTCTTGGTCTCTTTTGATCTTTCCCTTTTTCCCTCATTCCTTGTCCCTCTTCTCTTCCTCCTATTCCTCAGCTGTGTCCTTCTCATTCCATCTATGTGGTTGTAACTGTCCTGGAGGTCCAGCTCAGGTTGTGCAGCCCAGGGATGTCCAAGAGCCCTGGAAAACAAGAGCTGTTCCACTTGTGGTGGGATTCTATGTCCTCAAATCTGCTCTCTCTACCTCTCCTTTTCCTTTCTGCCTGTCTTCTCTTACTGTTCTCCTCTGTTTTTTTGTTCTCTCTGGAATGGCCGGGATGAGCCATAGGGTGTGCAGTGCACAGCCATGCACTGCAGGCAGCTGGATGATGTCAGATCCAGAAACTCCAACTCAAATGTAAGAGTGCAGATTAGAAGGAAAATCCCCAAGAAACAGGAAAGGCAGCACACAAAAGTGCCAGCAATAGAGTCACTTCAGCTGTATTGAATAACCCCAAGAAGCGGAAAAGGCAATGCACAAGAGTGCTGGTAATAACGTCCCTTTAGCTGTACTGAATACGCGCTGAATGAATGACTGTTCGTTCTGATTAACACAACCTAATACATTGCGACTTAGAACAGAAATGCTTCCCAAAGTCTATGGGATGAACAGTAAAGGCAAAGTAGTTTCCCTGTAGGAACACAATTTTTTTTTCATTTTAAACATTATCTTATTGGAGGGATTTTTGCATGTAATTAACTTGTCATTTAAACTGGGAGGGAGGAGAAACCTGTGCTTCAAACTGCTGATCTCCTCTAAGGGGAGTGCTTGTAACACGCTTGGTAGCTCACACGTGTGCAGTGTGAGTCGGGAGGAGGAGAGCAGCCTCACTCCCCAGCTGCCTTTCCTGGCTTATTTGGAGGCAGCATCTCCTGGGTCTGTGCTCCCAGGACAGCAGCCTTGGGCTGTGTGCCCAATCTTAGTCATGTCTTGCTGGAAGGAGGGAGGAGGAAGCTTTTAGGACCATGTCTATGCACACTTGGAATTTAAAGGGAGAAGATGACAGCTTTTCCTGAAGTGGTGAGAGTTGGAGTGCTTTCACAGGTTTGATTTCTCCTTATGCATAAAAGGAGTGCTTGCACCTCTGTAAGTACCTATAAACTCCCCTGAACTCTGGGGGACACTAAGCAGTCACTTAACTGCAGAGGGCTCAGGGAATCAAAGCTTTGGTGTCCTTTCCCTTTCTCTCCACTGTTACAAATCTTGGCAGGAGCTTAGCCATCCCCTCAGCCTTGCACTGTGTTCATCTCGCCCTTGCTGGTCACAGACCTGTCCCCGTGGTGGCCTGAGTTGCTTAGCAAGAAGTTTGCTCCCATGGAGAGGCTTCTATGCTGGCTACGCTCCATAAAAAGGAGCAGAGATCAGGAATAAAACCATGTTGCTGTTACTAGATCCAGCAGATGAAGCTTGAAATGCACAAAGGAGTATTGAATAAGGGGCTATTTTTGCATAACCCTTTTCCCAGTTACAGCTGCCACCTGGGGCCAGGCTTGCTGTGTGCTTTGCCATCTGCCAGAGAGCAGCACCAACCCTACTTCTCTTCCTTCTTGCTCTTCCTAACTCCTTATGCTCTCTTCCCCCATCAGACAGTCAGCAAACTGGCCATCCAGGAGGCTAATGTCTCAGTCATGTACAAGTGTATCGCCTCCAATAAAGTGGGTCGAGATGAGCGGCTGATCTACTTCTACGTAACCAGTGAGTACTGCAGACATCCCCTCCACCTGCATCAGCCGAGCTCTCTGCAGGTCCTGTCATTCAAAGTTAGCACCTTAAACAGTGACAGGAAGCCAGCAGGAAAGCAGGGCTACGAGCTCCGCTGCGTGGCAAAAGCCTGGAGCCCTGGAGGCAGCTGGCACAGGCACAGTTTGTCAGGCAGAGCTGGGGATGAGCCTCGGCCTCGGCCCTGGAGCAGCCCTGGCAGATCCTGGGCTGGGGAGGTCCCTCTGGCTCAGCTCCCTGCGCTGGGGAGGTGCCTGGTCCAAGAGCATCCTCTAGCGGCACTGCCTGACCCGCTCCCAGGCAGGGCCCCACAGGATTTTGGTGATAGGATGAAGCCGAGAGCCCAGCAGCATGGGCTGGAGTCGTGGCCTGGATGGGGCTGCATAAGCTTCCTGCCAGCAGAGTCTGTCCCTGCAAGCTGGGGACACTGAGCCCGGCAAGGGCACAGCAAAGGCTTCTCTCTGGACGGCCCCCTAGAAGGCTCATGGCCCTCATAGGTAGTACCTGTGCTGTCAGAGCCATCAGCTTTTGTGGAGGCAGATGAACTGCTGCCATCACTGCTCCAGTAACACTCTGTGTGTGCACTTGTCCAGCCTGGCTGTGCCTGCGTGTGTACAAGCAGCCATGCATGCAACCCAGAATGCTGCAGCTGAGCTGAGAGCAGTAACAGCCGAACTCAGACCTCCCAGACTTGTTTTACTTGTGACCCCTTCTGAATTTGACCCCTCTGCATACCCTTTAGCACTCTCTGGGATTAAGCTGTTGGTTGTTGGCAGTTTGCATGTCACAGTTCTGCTCTAGATTGGTTTCCTTTAGCCTGGCTGAGGACAAGGCGGGTCTCATGAGTTGAGCCCAAGGAGACAATTTCATTGTCTGGCAGCTCATTCACATGTTCATTTCCTTCCTGAAAGCTATTCCAGATGGGTTTGAGATTGAGTCCCAGCCCTCAGAAGAGCCCATAGAGGGGCAGGACCTACAGCTGAGCTGCAATGCAGACAACTACACCTATGAGAACCTGCAGTGGTATCGGCTGAACCTCTCCAAGCTCCACGACGAGGAGGGCAACCCCCTCGTGCTGGACTGCAAAAACGTCCACCACTATGCCACTAAGATGCAGGGGGAGCTGCGCTTCCAGCCCGACTCCAACGATGCGACCTTGCTGCTCACCATCCCCAACATCTCCCTGGGCGAGGAGGGAGACTACGTGTGTGAGGTGCAGAACCGGAAGACCCGGGAGAAGCACTGCCACAAGAAATACATCTCCGTGCAGGGTGAGGGTCTGCAGGGCAGGCGGGAGTGACGGAGGAGAGCTGGTGCTCTTGCTGCCATCAGCTTCCCAGTCCATCCCCAGGGGAAGCCATGCAAGCAAGCTAAACTCAAGGTGGCAAAGGCAGGGCACCTGGGTTCTCAAGATGCCCTTTGGCAGGGGTCAGAGACCCAAAGCCCCCAGGAACACAGCTATTCTTTTGATCAATCAGTTTCCCGTTTTCCCCTCCTCCTCTTTGTGCTGCTTCTCCAGCCCTGGAGATCCCCCGCCTCAAGCAGAACCTGACAGACATTTGGGTGAACGTCAGCGACTCCATAGAGATGCGCTGTAAGGTGGACGGCAACCACGTTCCTGAAATCAGCTGGTACAAAGATGAGAAACTGGTGGAAGAAGTGTCAGGTACAGTGGGTTGCGGGTGAATCAAAGGCAGGACGTCATGTCCAGTGGCTGAAGAGCTGAACATTGCTGGGTTCTGGGAGTTGCCCAAGCAGAGGCACCCATTCTCTGAACTGGCTGAGCTCTGGTTTTAATCATGCTCTATCCTCGTTTGATACAGTCTCACCAGCCAAGTCTATGTCCTAGGGTCTGGCTCAGCACTGTCTGTGCATGTGCACATTCAGCTGGAGAGCAGAGAGAGATAAATAATTCATCTTCTTACTCACAGCTCAGTGCCTGGCATCTCTGCTCATGCAGGGACCAACCCAGACCCCATGGAAGGAATGTGGGAAGTATCCAGGTATATTGCAGAGTGAAAGGAACAGGTCCTGGAGCTGAAGCAGAGTTTGACACACCAGCTGGACTCCCTGGGCACTGTCCCCATCCAGCATTATCTGCAGGGGTTTCGTCCCATCCACACACTGCCTGAGGAAGGCTCCTCCAGGTTATTTCTGGGGCTGTCAGGCCACAGAAGAGAGCCTCTACCAGCTGGTGTGATTTCATTCTGCCACATAAAACAGCCAAAAAATAGGAGCCTTATTTTGAGCCTGAACAAGTCCAGTATAGTAATTTCCCCTCCTTGTGACTGACCACTGCAACCCTCTGTGTCTTACAGGAATAGACCTGGCAGACTTCAACCAGAGGCTGAGTATTCAGAGGGTGAGGGAGGAGGACGCTGGGCTCTACCTGTGCAGCGTCTGCAACGCTAAGGGCTGTGTGAACTCCTCGGCCAGCGTCTCTGTGGAAGGTACCAGCAGCCACGACACCTCTGGGGATGAAGAGGGGGAGCAGCAGTGTGGCCAAGGTCCCATGCCTCTTCCCTGTGACATCAGGCAGGAAGAGGCAGTGAAAGCCCCTATGCCTTGCCAGTGGCGTGGTGCTCTCACAGGAGGATCTGTAGCCTGGAGCATGTTTAGCTCAGGCAAACACACCTCCCCAGACTCTCCACATCCTGAAACAGGCCACAAGGGATAGCTGAGCTGGGGCACAGAATGGGAATCTCTGAAGCTACAATTACCCTCCCATCCCACAGGCTCTGATGACAGGACCAATGTGGAGATTGTCATCCTGATTGGGACTGGGGTTATCGCTGTCTTCTTCTGGATCCTCCTCATCCTCATCTTCTGTAACATCAAAAGGGTATGTGACTGTCTCTGTCCCAGGGCAGGGGAGGTGGCTTAGCGGGGCTTGGGGCAACACCATTGCTGTGATGTGGGGCTGTATGACAGCATCCCCTAAAAGGAGGTCATTGAGTGATGCTTCAAGTGCTCTCACTGCTAAGGACAAGGTGCACAAAGACTGTGGTAAAGGAGGTGACAGGGAATGGCCTTTGCCAGGGAGAAGCAGGTCAAGGCAGGCAAAGGAACAAAATCTGCTCTGGGAATGGGCACCTAATGCAGGGAGGGCTCCTCACCCTTTGTGTTTGCTGATCCTTGCAGCCTGCCCATGCAGACATCAAGACGGGCTACCTCTCCATCATCATGGACCCTGGTGAGGTGCCCTTGGAGGAGCAGTGCGAGTACTTGCCCTATGATTCCAGCAAGTGGGAGTTCCCACGAGACCGCCTGCGCCTCGGTGAGCCAGATCCCTCCCTGCCACTGCCTGCTGCAGCCAGGGTTCCCACCAGCCCTGCAAATTCACCCTCCAGGTTTCTTACACACCTTTGTATTTAATGCCTTCCCTCTGCCTCAGGCTTCCCATCTTCTTTCCCACACTGTCCCTAAAGCCCAGCTGTGTCTGGGAAATCTCTTTGGGTGTAACTATGGACAGGTTTGAGCCAATTGTAAGCCCAGACCCTCCCAGTGTACTCACGCAGGCATCACTGAGACCAGAAGACCTCTGGACATGCTTTAAAATACATCCCCATATTCTCCAAGTGGCAATCTGGACAGAACAACTCCGTCCACAACAGGTAGCCCAACTTCAAGACCAGGACTGCATCCATTATCCTCCTCATGCTGAGACACCCACCTGCAGTCTTTTTCCTCTGGGAGGAAAGACTACCTTTGAGGCACAAAGCAGTGACATGAGCCCTGGCTGCTATGCTGCAAGGTGTAGCATTAACCTTACCTACACGCTCTGCTCAAGGGCAACAAACAGCCCCTCACTTCTGCGGGGCCATTTCCTTCCTCTGCTTTGTCCATGCCAGCTCTGTCTCAGTTCCTCCCATCGTCCTTTCTCTTATTCTTACCACCAGAGCAAGCAGCCACCTGGGAAGGGCACATATTCCACTCCTTCCTTTTCCTTTATGATGTTTTTTTCTTTCTTCTTCCCATGGTTTCCTGTTGGGATTTTTGGTTTTTTTCATTCAATTCTGCCTGTGCTGCACCTGTGTTCCTTCACACTGCCTCTCTCCTTGCCCATAGGTAAAGTCCTGGGTCACGGTGCCTTTGGGAAGGTGGTGGAAGCATCAGCATTTGGGATCAATAAAAGTAATAGCTGTGAGACCGTAGCAGTCAAAATGCTGAAAGGTATGTGGACAGCAAAGCAGAATATGTAGTCCATGTGGACAGCAAAGGATAAGGCATCTGCCAGGGAATGTCCACCTGTAAATGCCTGTCTCTTGTATAAAACACTTGTTAAGGCTCTCGAAAATGTTTTCTCTTCCACAAGCACTCCTCGGTGCTTCTGCTTGAGCCAGCCCTGAACTAGGGTAGAGCAGCTGGAGGCAGCATTTTAATTTATCGCTTCTTGGCCTCAACAGAGTTGATCCTCTTGACCTCCCCTCGTGGATGCTTTAGCCCCATTCAGCTGCACTGGGAGGCAAGTGGCAGAGCAAACAGCAGAGACTTGAACTTGGCTTTCAAGGAAATTTAGCTGTTTGCAAAGGCAAAGAATGTAATCTGTCTCAAAGGATGGACAAGAATGCAGAGCCCCTCTTTGGCAGGTCACTGAAGGAAGTGCTGCTCCCAGTTGCTTTCTTCGAAATGTGCCTGTATTTCATGTTTATGAGCCTGGTTCAGAGCTGCATAAGGAAGCAGATTGCAGCTCTAACCCATCTCTGAGGGCTAAATTGGCTTTACACCCAAAGCCTGGTCAATACAGAGTGAATTTTTAGGCTTTTATAGCCATGCTTTCAAACAGGCATCCAGAACATTATTCTGTAATTTGGCATCCAGCAAAACACCAGGGCAGTCTCTGACCAGCAGTGGCCTGTATGCGGAACCCAAGCCAGGGCTTGTCGCAGTGGCACTTAACACAGAAAGTGTAGAGATGCACAGCACAGCAATTGCAGAGGGAAGCCTGGCCATGCAAGGTTGCTTTACAGTCCTTTGAGGCATGGCTCTTACCTGGACCATTAGCTGCAGTTCAAGAGGATGCTTCTCTCTTTCAGACTAAATTTACAGATGCCCAAGTAAGGCAAAATGCATACGGGGAAGCAGAGAAATATGAAAAAGGCACACAAAACCAGAGAACATACCCCAAGGATAAAACAGAGGATCAAGCGTTAGTGTAAATTAGGCACTCAGAGAGAAGATGCAGTACAGAGAATTGGCAGGACACAACACTGTGTTTGCTATTGGAGAGGAATCATAAGAAGATATTCTGGGTTTGAGCTGAGACAGTTCCTGTCTTCAGTCATGATCAAGACTCAGATGCCTTTTGTTTCTAATTTTCCTTCAAATTGTTTCATGGCTTGTTATCTCTATTTGGAGGCCAAAAGGGCAGAGATTCAAGTGCATGCATCTGTATGTGAGCCTCAAGTGCTCTTTTTCCCTGCACAACTATCACAAGGAAAAATCTGTTGGGCACAGGTTGTGTTGTCCTTTGCTCTGGGTCCCTGCAGCTGCAGGGAGCACCCCACACATTACAGCAGGGATCCTGGGAGCTCCAGACAAGGCCCTGACATTTCACAGAATCACAGAATATTAAGAGTTGGAAGGGACCTTGAAAGATCATCCAGTCCAACCCCTGCCAGAGCAGGATCACCTGGACCAGGTCATACATGAACATGTCCAGGCGGGTTTTGAATGTCTGCAGAGAAGGAGACTCCACAACCTCTCTGGGCAGCCTGTTCCAGGGCTCCGTAACCCTTACAGTGAATAAGTTTTTCCTCGTGTTCACATGGAACCTCCTATGCTCCAGCTTGCACCCATTGACCCTTGTCCTATCATTTGACATCGGCGAGAAGAGCCTGGCTCCTTCCTCCTGACACTTGCCCTTTACAAATTTATAAACTTATAAACACATTTCATATGGAAATAAGCAGTAACAAAATGTACCAAGGGTTTGGAGTCACAGCCTCCTCAGCAAGGCTAACGCGAACACTTTGCTAAAAGAAGGGTGGTAAGGGAGAGTGAAAAGCTGTGAGGAGGCATCATGACATGGTCTGTGTGTTTCCAGAGGGAGCTACTGCAAGTGAGCACAAGGCATTGATGTCGGAGCTGAAGATCCTCATTCACATCGGGAATCACCTCAACGTGGTGAATTTGCTGGGTGCCTGTACCAAACCCAATGGTAAATATCCCAGGCTGTGCCTGCTCCCAGAGATCAGTGCTTGTTCCCTGTGTCCTTTCTGCTGGCCACATGTATGACCAGAGGGACATGTGGGGATGTTATCAGTGTGCCTGTGTGCACTTGGAGCAGTCGCCATAGCTCAGTGGGGCTGCACATAACATGAGTTGGGGCAAATTCTGACCATTGCAAGCTCTTATCTCCTCCCCTGACCTTTGGTTTCTTCTCACCAGGTCCACTTATGGTAATTGTTGAGTTCTGCAAGTATGGAAACCTCTCCAACTACCTGCGGACCAAGCGAGAAGGATTCAGTCCTTACAGGGTAAGCAGCATCCTTGGCCCCTAGGAACCTGTCCCTTGGCTAGGAAAGGACAATGTGTAGCCTGGAACATGATCTGACAATGAGATAAAGACAGCCTCTGTCTAGCAGCAGCTCAACTTCAGACAGTATTGTTGGTTCCTGTGCATATGAGAGAAGTAGCTTCTTTCTGCAGTGGGGAATAGGTGCTTCCAGGCCAGAATTACAGTCTAAGAGCAGGACAAGACTGTGTAGCTCATGGGTGCAGGGTTACAATGTGTGTTGCCTGCTGAGGTTTTTGTTTTGGTCTCCTTGCCAGGAGAAGTCTCCAAGGCTGCGCATTCAGGTCCAGTCCATTGTGGAGGCAGTGAGAGCAGACAGGAGGAGTCGTTCTGGGACCAGTGACAGTGCTATCTTCAACCGCTTCCTGATGCACAAGAGTCAGACAGCACAGCCAATTCAGGAAGGTAATACTCCAGCCTTGGCAGCAGCTTCTCATCTGGGCCACCAAAAAAATTACAGACTTGGCTAACTTGGGGAATGGGTATGGCATGACACTGGGGAGCTGGGACCCAGCCTTGGAGCTGACCGCTCCACTATTGCATGACAATTCCCTGAACAGGGCTATTACAGTCATCTGTTGTCTCTTGTAATAGACTCTTGAAACCCAGAAGGGAGGATTAAAACCCTTTGGATTTTTTTAGCCTAAAGAAAGGAGAATTGAGGAGGATCTGAGTGGGTCCTCCCTAGGACAGGAATGATGAGCTGTCCTTGTAAGTCCCTTATGGCTCTGTTCCCCACAACTCTGTCTGACATGTGCTGGAGGACTGAGGACTAGCTGTATCTTACCAAGAGGCTGCTTGTATCCCACAGTTTTTGAGAGAGGCAAGGAGGACAAGAGACTGCTCACTGTCTAATAATTTTCTTGTATTCCTGGACAGTGGATGACCTGTGGCAGAGTCCCTTGACAATGGAAGACCTTATCTGCTACAGCTTCCAGGTAGCACGTGGCATGGAGTTCCTGGCATCCCGAAAGGTGAGGTCACCCTTTCCTTCGCTCCTCTCTTCTTTTGTGAAGCCACCTTACGAGTGACACACAGAGAGATTCAGTGATCTGACACTCTCAGGAAGTCTGAGGTAGCCCTGTGTACATAAAGATGGGAAGTTAGTCCCCTTGCATTTCATCCCCTCCTTAACCATCTCCTTTTGAAGCTTTTATCTTTAGCTCTTTCCCACTTCTACCATTCCCCTATTACAGCTCAGGTCCATGAGGGGAAGGGAGTGCTCTGCATTTTCTGATGGTCGTTCCTGTCCCTCTGATTTTGCCCTTTTCTCTTTGTGTGCCCTCAGTGCATCCACAGAGACCTAGCTGCTCGCAATATCCTGCTGTCAGAGAACAACGTGGTAAAGATCTGTGACTTTGGCCTGGCCCGGGACATCTACAAGGACCCCGACTATGTCAGGAAAGGCAGTGTGAGTGCCATCTTCTCAAACCCTATACAGATTAGGCCCCCTTGAGATGGTCATAAACTCCTCTGGGGATGGAGTAAACTGACGAAAAGATGAAAAAGGAGTGGAACCACTTGTGCGGCTGGGACCAGGAACCATTGGGCCAATGATACGTGTGCTGTCCTTCTCCTCCATCAGCAGACCTCTGCCTCTTTCCTTCTGCCCCTCAGCCTGTCATTAACTTGCTCTTCTTTCTTTATACTCTTTTCTCCTCCTTTCAGTGTCTCCATCCCTCCCTCTGGCCTAACCAAACCTCCATTCCTCCATGGAGAGAGGAGCAGGGCTATTGGCTCTGGCTTACTTTCATCCCTTTCATCCCATTGCTACAGGAAGGGCTGTCCTGGGACATGTCCCTGACTGAACACTTGTGCCTTGCCTCTCCCTCCTGCAGGCCCGTCTCCCACTGAAGTGGATGGCTCCAGAGAGCATCTTTGATAAGGTCTACACTACCCAGAGTGACGTCTGGTCCTTTGGAGTCCTCCTCTGGGAAATCTTCTCACTGGGTGAGTGCTAATGAGGGTCACACGCTGCTGTGGGAGGCAGAACCTCTCTTCCCACTGAGCAGCTTGGTGGGTGAGTCTGTGCAGGAGGCCCTGATGCTCTGCAGCACATCCAAGGAGTGATGGGAAGAGACATCAGTGAGGGCAAAAGAAATAGGGAGGCCATATCCATCCATGAACAGGGTGATGGGAGACAGGCAAGCAGAGGTGGTCTCCTGCTCACTGAGGCGAAGGAGCCTGTCTCAGGCAGCACCAAGGACTTAGGCTGTATATAAGAAGTGACAACATCTCCCAGTGTTTTGGGAGGAAGGGCAGTCTCAGGAGAAGGACTGGTTTCTGATTACACATTTCACGTTCTCACCTCTCTTTGAACCTCCTTTAGGGGCCTCTCCGTACCCTGGAGTCCAGATCAATGAGGAGTTCTGCCAGAGGCTCAAAGACGGTACCAGGATGAGAGCCCCAGAGTACGCCACAGCAGAAATGTGAGTCAGAAACCTGCCAGATCCCAGCATACGTCAGGGCAGGTGTCTCTGTGGGATGGTAGAAACCTCCCGGATCCCAGCATAGGGCAGTATAAGCCCCTCTGTGGGATGCAAAGACCTTTCAGCCAGGGTAGGGGATGAGCCATCATGTCCTTCACTCCAGGCAGCTGCATGGAAGGCAAGCCAGATGGGTTTTAATGCAGGTCAGAACTATCTAGGAACATAAAATCCCTCGCATACCCACACTGGGATGGATCTGTAAGTGGGCAGTGTGCTTTCCTGCTCTGAAGGGTATCAGCAGAATCCTAATTAGCTCCTTGTGCACTGTTATATTCAGTGCATAATGAACCAAGCCCTTTCCAGTAAGTCCACATGGCCAACGTGCTGGGGGGTGCTAAGCTTTCCTTCACAGTGTGGGTACCTGTTGTCCCAGCAGGCACCATGTGGGTGGGAGCTGCAGAATGGGGTAGGAGGGGGTTTCTGTGGCATAAAACCAGCATCTCTTCTTGATAGTTACCGTATAATGCTGAGCTGCTGGCATGGCGATCCCAAGGAGAGACCAACTTTCTCCGACCTGGTGGAGATACTAGGGAACCTTCTTCAGGAGAACGTTCAGCACTCTCTGTCTCCCTGCTCAGCTCCATACAGCTCTTTCCTGTCCCACCATTAGCTCCCTCGCTGTGCCCTCTTCTGACTCCCTGGCTAATGCAATACTTTTGCGTAGGCCAAGGGATAACACAGTATTTCCTGGATCAGAAAGGTCTGTTTCCCAGAGCTACTGGAGAGCTCATTTCTGTGGTAGCCCTCTCACTGCATCCTAATATAGCTCCACTGCTTGCAGGGTTGGTACCCTCTCAGTCGTCATTCCAGTATTTCCATCATAATCCCCAGATGATTATTTGAATTTTTCAGCTGAGTCAAGGCCCTGGCATTCATCCCACACGCCTGCATAATGAAAACCAGGACTTCACCAAGGTTTCCGAAACTCTATCCTCAGATCTAAATGTCAGGGCCATGTGAACCAAACAACTGTTCCATTACAGGAGTCAAATATACAAATTTCTCTGAAACTATTACTAATCGCTGCTATACAGTAACTCACCAGGGCTTTTAACTGCGATGAGCATGAAGCTCTGATTGTAACATTTTCTTGGCGTTCCATTTCGTAAGACGATAACTAAATGCTTAAATATGAGTCCTGCCTCATCCTGACGTCTCTGATTTTAACCTTTCAGCACTGGATCCCAGCAAAGGCATGACTAAGCCACAGTGATGTGCCCCTGGAGCACAGCATTTTGCCCATGTAGGCTAGAGAACTGTAGGTGCCATAGGACTGGGTTGTTTTCCTGCTCACACACACCTCCATGCACCTTCAACCCTCACAGCCACTTAACGCAGAGGGTACAGAAATCTCCAGCCAGATATTTTGTCCCAGAGAAACAAAAGACAAACCAGAAATTTTCCTCCCCGGCTCTGACAGCTTCTGCTTGTAGAGCCCTGTGTTGTAGGAAAGCCCTCCCCTTCTTGTGCGGCCACTCACTGTTCTTCCTACCAGGAAGGGAAGGACTACATCCCGCTGAACGACTCTCACAGCTCAGAAGATGATGGTTTCTCTCAGGTGCCTTCCTCTGCCCAGCAAAATTCAGATGAAGAGGACTTTGACATGAGGATACGTTGCCACAGCCTAGCAGCAAGGTGAATCCCCTCTGAAAAGTGCAGAGTGAGCCCAGCAGGCAGCCAGCAGCCTGAGCTGTACTGGAGCCTGCAGGATATAGGGACGACCCACTAGCAAGATGTTGGAAAAATCCCAGGTGATCAGGCGTGATCCAAGCATTTAGGCCATAGCATCTTGGTTATAAAAGCAAAATCACTTTCCTTTGATGATGAGAAAGCCTATGACATTCTTTCTCCAGCTACACTGCCAGAGCATCACATCATGGCCCATCAGGTAGATGAGGAAAGAAGGTGACAGCTGGGTCTCTACCCTTCTGCTAATGCAGGAGCTTCATCCTATCTGTTCCTAACTAACCCCAAAAATTAGGCCTAGGCATCTCATCTCTGGGGAGCTATGGTAGTGTGATGCTTGGGATCTATATGATATTATTCTGCTTATCCAGAGTGGAGAGGTGATCAGGGCCTGATTTGATCAGGAAGTCTGGGTGTTCACCACTGCAGAAGTAGTATGGGATTAAAAGGCCTAAGGTGATGCTGTTCCCCTCCTAAAATCCACCATTAGCGTCGTCTGCCTCTCCACATACTTTGGTTGCATGGAGAGGAGGTTAGGTTCAGGTCCTGTTTATTCAGGACATTGACTCTGTTGGTTTTACTGAATACAGTATGCTTCTGTCAGCAGATACTACAACTGTGTCTCGTTCCCTGGTTGTTTGACGGGAGGAAATCAGATCAGGTGTCCATCCAGGATAAAGACATTTGAAGAGTTTCCCATGACACATACAATGTACAAGGCACACCCGGTGAGTAGCATCTGAGTGGGGTTGAGCAAGGGGCAAAGAAATGTTCAGCTGTTTCCTGACACCTTTGCTGTTCAGATCGTGAAAGGAAAATCACTCCTATCTAATGTCAGTCTGTCTGTGTCATTTCTGTTCAGTCTGTCCAGTGCTATGCACATTCATTTATCCACCTGGCACACAGGAGTTTCTCTACAGCACAACTAATACTGCCTGAATGTGAAATAGAGAGGTTAGATCTACAAACAAGGCCTATAAAGGACCTCAGAGAAGAGCCTGCTCTTCACTATTCTGCAGTCTGTGAATACGGCCTTGTTAACCCTACTGAAATCCAGCCAGGACTAGATAAATCCAGAGTGTTTGTCTGGAGCTCCCCTGTTGTAACCCACACGGCAGTGTGCAGTAGGGGCCCTCCTGGCCTCTCTGAACTGAGCTGGTACTTACATCTCCCTTAGTGGCAAGTCATACCTTTTGTCTCAGAGGAAAATCTCATCTCTCTCAGATTTGATGATAATATATCTTCCAGGCAGGGAGCACCCACTACCAAAAGTGGTGCTGATTCTACCTTTGTATGTGCTGCTTTTAAGAAGGCGCCTAAGAAAAATCAGTTCCAGCAAGAGCATAGAGCATGCTGTTAAAGTGCCCCTGCTCCTTTTTTCCCCATCACAGATACACATGATCTCATCTCCTGAATGATTTCTCCTCCCTTCCCGCTCCAATCAGTCGACAGGGATGTTACTGATAACTCCTGTTGCTTCCTTCCAGGACAATCAGACAGACAGTGGGATGGTTCTGGCATCTGAGGAATTTGAGAGGATAGAAAACCGACACAGAAAAGAAGGTGGATTCAGGTACTCCTTAAGTCTAGCCACTCAGACCTCCCTGCTGCCAAATGCAGTGAGACCAGGAGGCAGCTCTTGGTGTCTCCCTATAGGGTATAGCTCTTGGGGCTCCCAGCAGCAGCAGGGCTGTGGGCCCTGAGCCAGATAAGTCCATGCATACATTAATGAGAGGCAAAACACACAAAGAACAAACCTGCCTGCTGCTTCCTAGGGTTTAAAAATATAAATTGTGCCCATTCAGTGAGAATGTGTCAGTTAAGATAATGAGGCGCAGTGGAGTGATGGTGTTAATAGGACTCTTAATGCTTATTGACATTATTTTGTTAAAAGAGTTGGGGCTTGTTCAAGCAATGGCAAGTGGGATGGATGGAAACTATGCTACTGCCACCTGCCTCCCCCAGCCCTGACCCTAGTGCCACAGGGTCCTGATGTGGCATTGCAGGGATGGTACAGCCTTAAGACTTCCCGCATGCCGATACTGAGCCTGGCAGGTTGAGCTGGCACTCTTGGGGCTGAGGATGTTATGGATGGTTATGTCCTTGCCCCAGGCTTGGACAGGCTTGTCCAGCTCATCTCTGCTTGGTGCCAGAGCAGGCTGGGACCTTGTCTCCATGACTGTGTTGAGCAAGAGATGTTAGCTCATGTGTGGACAAGGCCAGTCCCAAGCCTCTTCCTCACCTGCTCTGCCTCCCATCATCAAAATTTTTTCGCTTAGCCATAGCCCTGCGACCTCTCTGCTGTTGTATCAGACTGTCTCCTGCTTCTTGTCCTTGTCCTCTTTTCCCTAAGGCATATTCGTATTGTCTCCTACACCGTGGGCTACCTGGCATCCAGACTTCGGGAAAACACTGCCCTTAAACCTCTCCTTGAATGTGTCCCTGTCCTCGCTCTTGTGACTTCTTGCTAGTCACCTGCTATTGGCAGGCGCTGAGATGGGGTTGCTGATTTTCTCTACATCTTCTTCATCATCTTCTTTAATTTCCTTTCCCCCATCCTGGCTGCTGGTTTGTATCACTTTCTGGCACTCCTACCAGGTCTAGGAGCAATTGAGGCAATGTCTCTTGTCTCTCCCTGCTCATTGGTGTCCCAACCGTTCCCTGGGCTTCCCAAAGGTATCTAGAAGAGCTGACGTGACTCTGTGGCTGGGCTTTGTGCAGATTTTTCACAGAACTCGCAGGCTGTGCTTATGTTTAGAGTGAGGCCTGGTGGTGTGCTTCGAAATGGAGGTGTAGGTCCATTCTGGACCCTGCCTCTGCCCTGCTCATGTGCATTAGCACATGATGTTTCCTGAAGCTAGGATCTCTCTAAGCAAGACAGAGGCTTTCAGATTGATCTTCTATGTCTCTCTCCCTCACAGCAGTAAAGGGCCCGGCCGAAGTGTGGAGCTGGCAGGGGAACTGTCGGACCTGCGGGGCAGATGTCGGCCGTCATACGGGTCCCAGGTTGGAGGCCAGACTTTTTACAACAGTGAATATGGGGAGCTGTCAGAACACTCTGAGGATGGCAGCTGCACCCCACCTGGAGAAGCGGCCAGTCCCCCCACTCTCCATGCTTCCTTCTTCTCAGAGCAGTACTAATGGCATCAGACCCTGGGGGCACCTGCCAAGGCAGCCCCTCTCACCCTCCAGGCACATCATAAGGGTCACTCAAAGCTTCTCTTTCAACCTATGCCCAACCCCAGCAGGGAACCTAGCCCAAATGGATGAGGAGCACCGATGTCCTTGGAATGTCATCAGGATCACTCAGAGCTTCGCCTTCAACCTATGCCCTACCCCAGCAGGGAGCCTAGCCCAAATGGATGGGAAGCACCGATGTCCTTGGAACCACAGCACGATGGCCCACACAGCACCTCCAACTGCAGCTTCCCCATGCTGGGACTGGAGAGAGCGCCTTGCTGATTCTTCGTGTTTCTTTTCTTCCTGTGTCTCAGACAGATGAATTCTGCCGGTGAGTGGGTGCCTGTGTTCAGCACTACAGCACCTTCTGCCTAGCATCCAGCCTCCACTCAGATCAGCTTCCCATTCAGAAAGCCCATTTCAGGTCAGATATAAATAGATCTGTCTTAGTCTCAAGTTTCTTCCTGGTGTGCAGCCTGAATGTTTTTCCTTGGATTGCTTCCTCCTCCTCTCCTCATGATGTCAGCTGCTGAGCTGCAGAGCAGAATCAAAGGGAAGAAATCCCTAGTGGTATTAGCAGCAAGAGCAGGACATTTTAAAGAGGTGTATGGAGAGATCCCGAAGGATCTTTGTAAATGCTCGTGCATGCTGCTCGTTCTGGGTAGGTGCCAGCCTCTCCATCTCCTCTGCAAGCAACACCCACACTCCTCTCATCTCTGCTGGGGGGAAACCTGTCAATCTGCCTTATCACCAGGATTATTTTAGCCATCTCAGCACAGCTAGTGCTGAGTAGGTCATCAACTGATAGCTAGAGTCCTCCCAATGAGATAAATAGCAACTCTTTTTGCAGGCTCTGTGCAAAACAGGTTTTTATGTGATCTGTTCTAGGAGCAGGTTACTCACAGGTCTATTGCTCTTGTCTTCCCCTTCTTCCAGAGTAGTGCTGAGATCATTTGTTGCTTAAGTGAGAAATTAAAGCAAAGCTGTGTTCATTTCAGCTGGCTTCTAAACACAGAGTGAAAATGAGTTGTTTGCTGGGAGGAAAAGGATCAAAGTGGTAGGGAGTGAAATGTTTGTTTTCAAGTTGCTGCAAGGGTTTTGGGAACAATGGAAGGAACAGAGATCCAGCAATGAGGTGCCCTGGGCTGCATCCCCTGTGTGCTGGCATCCCCTGTGTGCTGGCATCCCTGAGCTCATGGAGGGCAGCACCTGGCCAGGGCTTAAGCCCCAACTCCCCTGGATGGACAGTTCTGCGCCATGACCTTCCAGTCACCCTAGTTCCCTGGCTCCAAGGAGGCACTCTCTGCCAAATGTGCTCCTCTCCAGTTTCTGTTGCAGAGCTGCCAGTACAGCGTACCTGTCTCTAGGGGACTGAGAAACATTTAATTGCTGAGGAAACATCTCATCACTTGGGCCTTTTGTTTCTGAAAGATATCACGTGAATTCAGAGCTCTGGGGATCTCTGCAGCCCTTCTCTACAGATGCTGCTGCCTCACCACGTCCCACCTACTTCTTTCCATCCTGCTCACAATCTAAGAGCTCAACCACAGAGCATGGTTACGTTGCTGCCAAAGGAGTCTGGGTGCAGGGGCTCATCTGAACAACTTGTCATCTTCTCTGCTCCCACACACCCGTGGCTGGCAGAGCTCCTTGCACCAGGGCACCTCAGCACCAGGGAGCTTCTGCTTGCAGGCCGCACCTCTATGCACAGAGGCATGGGTTTGGACTTTTATAATTGTGTTTCCTATCAGATGTATTGCTTTGCCAAACCATGTTTCTTTTCTTGCAGAGGGTTTTGATGCATTTCCTAACATGAGCCTGTGAGTCCTTATGGATGACTTTCCCAAGTCTTAATTATAGTTCTCCACACAAGTGTAATGGGGAAATTTATTTAGCGCATGGGAAAAGCATGTCTGTCATTCAGATTCTCTAAGCCAGTGCAGAGTGCTCAGTGTTCCCCTCCCTTTTCGTGTCAGCAGAATGATATGGCTGTGATTTCCATGGCAAAAAGAGGCACAAAACCAGAGCAGCTTGAGCCAAACTGGCTCGGGATGTGGAATTGGAAACTGGATGTGACAATGAATTCCCTGACTTCTAATGGTGTCCCCTGAAGTTGCCAGGAATTTAAGCATCTTTAAGTAATTGTTATGACTCAGTAAGAATCCTCTGGCAGGGGATGCTGGAGAGCCAGGCCAAGGAAGTAGGACAGCCAATGCAGCGTAGGCCAGACCAAACTCTCCTGCCCTCATCTTGCCCTGGTTTTTGAACTGGTGGTTCCCTTGACAGAAGGAAGGCTGCATGCACCCCGTGCTGCTGGGGCTCTCCACTGGCATTCACGTGGGTGGAAGGTGACAGACAGCTGAGCTAAATTCAGGCTGCTCACTGGGTGATGTGCATCCATAGGACCCAGGCTCTCTTGTTTCCAGTGTTTCACAAATGATTCCCTGCCTGGAAACACAGCCCCATCTGAGAGAGGGCCCAAGAAAGAGGCCTATAAATAAAATAATAATTGAAAAAGAGAATTGCAAAGTAGCTGCAAGTCCTTGTCCATGTGTGAAGGATAGAAACATACTAGTAAAGCCCAACACTTGCAGGACACCGTCAGGATTCCTCAGCATCTGAGCGCCCTGGCTGGCTGTCAGCACTCCCAACCAGCCAGGACAGATGCACTTTGTCCCTAGGTTCAGCTGTAAATTGCTCACAAGCATCCTGGCAGAGAAGGGTTACTTCATTAGAGCCATTGTTAACGATCCCTTGCTTCTCTCTGGGGAAAGCACGGGCATGACATCTGATTTTTGAACATTCAAATCATTTGACTTCACAGAAGTTTATTTTCTCTCTTTTGCACCATCTTGATGGGGGTTGGAATCAGATCCTATTGTATCTGTGTCAACAGCCTTGCTTGAACAATGCAGTCATGATCCGAGCAAACGCTGGCTCCTCTTCAGACACTCTTGCTGATGAAGAACAATTGTAGAGTGGGATATTGAAGAGCTGTTGAGACAATTGTACTTTTGCTCTTTAAAAAGAATTCTAAAATTAGCGTGTACAAACCTGATACCCTTCCCCACACTCTTGCATTATTTTTGGCAATTTTTTTTTAGTCTCCAGATGCAAGAGTGAGCATGAAATGAAGCTGGTTTTGGTTTTAAGAAGTGAGGCAACAGTGTTGTCTGTCTTTCCACAGTAACAATTTCAGCTTTTAAAACCCAGGGTTTGTTAGTTGTCCCTGCTCTGTTCACAATGCACACAGTTTTGTTTTTTACTGGAACTCAGCATTGAAGCTAAGCTATTTATCATTCTCCTTTAAAATGACTGTTCCCAGTCTATGCACACTGTCATTTTTCCTTACAGAGTGTTGATGTTGAGAGGACATTTCCTCCCTCATGAAAACAAAGCGTTGGGTCCCCTACTTGCAAATACACGTGTGTCTCTGAAGAAAAACCTGTGTAGCAAGTAACACTTCATTAATATTGCAATATTTTAACCTGGTACCTGTTGTTGCTACAGCAGCATTCGATGTTTCAGTGGGCTGCCTTTGAAGCAAGTAGGTTACAACATGGGTTATGTGCGAGTACAGAAGTGTGGTCTGTGTGTGTGTGTGTGTTTTGTGGGTGAATGTTTGGGTGTTTGCACATGCAAAGTTTTCCTACCAGTGAGCGTATGTGAGTGTTTATAACTCACGTTGAGTCTTGTCTCTGGAAGTTCACGGTTATATATCAAACCAGTTAGAACACTGCTTTCTTTTCTCTCCTCCTATAGTACTTGTTATCCTTTGTCATTAAGAGTTTTGTGGTAATATCTGAATGTGAAAATAAATAAAGTCATAGCTGGCAGCTGCTCTCTGGTTCCTGGAGGCCACCACTGCCCATGGGTGCTGCAGCCCCCCCGGTTCCTGGCTCCCCATGCAGCACTGGGCAGACCCACTCTGGCCCAAGCAATCAGCACATTTTGGTTTTATTATTTTTACTTTCGTATCCCTTTGCATGTCTCCACATCCTCTAGGAAACAGCTGGCCTCTGTGGCATTTCCATCCAGGATGAAACTCAGTCTTTTCTCATGATGAAGCCGGATACGCTTTGGTTAAGCTTGCTGACAGAAGCCAGTGGCCTAGCACAGAGCTCTTCACCCCGCCGGCATCTCCCCCAGCTCCACGACCCTTCCTTGGCCCGAGGATCTGGGACCCAACGGCCCCTCTTGCTCTTCTTGCAGTGACAGGTGCCGGGAGAGACCAAGGGCGGGGGAGCCCTTCTCGGGCCTCCCCGTTCCTGTCAGCGCACCGACCACCCC